GGCCTCGCGGCGGTCTGCGCGCCCGCCGGCCTCTGCACCCGCTGGGCACCGACATTCGCCGGCGCGCACGCTCGCTGCCGGCGCCGAGCTCCGGCACAGCGCTCTCAGGGGCTGCGGCCCAGGGAGACCCGGCCTCTCAGTCCCATCCCGTGCTTGAATACCTTCTGTCTTGGCCCCGTCGCGTGTGCATTCACGCGTACCTCCGAGCACAGGGCGCTCATCTCCTCCCGAGAGCGGTTGCCGGGACTTGGGAAACTCTGGCTTTTAGGAAGCTCCCCCTTTTCATGACGTGAAGTTCGCCCCTTCATTAACTCTCACTGGTCCTACTCTCCCAGGTTAAATACAGTTGGGCCTCTACCCAGCACAAGCCCTTACACAATGATCTGCAAACTAGTTGCTCATTATCTTGTAAGACCAGGAACCTTTCGTGTGCTTTACCCATAGGGACTCATTTAATCTTCATCATAGCCTTATTAGGTGTACACTACTATATTCCCATTACACAGTTGAGAAAATTGAGATACAGAGAGAGAAAACGACTTTTCCAAGGTTGTGCAACAGCACCAAGATGTGAATCAAGGTTGTCTGGCTTGAATTCAACAACGGCTGAGACCTACATCCCATGTGAAAACCCATTCATTCAACAAATACTTTCTGGATACTGACTTATGTATTCAACAATTACTATAGACCTGGGTGGATATATGAAACAGACAAAAATTCCCTACCCTCATGGAGCTTACATTCCAGTGGGAAGACAAGAATAATAAGCAACTAAAAAAAAAAAAAAAGACAAAGCAAATCCTCTGGTGTATGTACCTTATCACTTATCACTGTCTCATACAGCAGAAAATTTAGGGGGAAAAAAGTGAAGGAGACAGGGATTGCTGCAATTTTAAGCAGAGCATCCGCTGTTTGGTGTATTCATTATTTGTCTCCACTTCCAGAAATGAGCTCCCTTAGGGAAAGATCTCATCTTGTATCTCAGTACCTGGTATCTGGCATGTAGTTGGTGCTCAATAAATAGCAAATGGGTGAATGACTGAATATAGACATGGTCCTAGCCTTCATGAAGCTTACATTCTCGTGGGAAAGCACAACAGCAAACATAAATATATCATTTCAATGAGATGTGCATTCCGAAGAAAATGGAGGGAGTGTAGTGATTAGGAAGATGGGGGAGGGGCATTCACTTTAGAAAAGGTGGCCCAAGAGGGCTTTGCTGAAGAAGTGATATGGTGACATTGGAGCTGAGACCTGAAGTATAAGAAGGAACCAGACTCATGCAAATCAGTAGAGAGGTATATTACACCAGAGGGAGCAGCCTGTGCAGGGTAGGAGCTGGTGGGTTTGAGGAGCCACAAGGAGGCCAGGTCGGCTGGCATGGAGGGAGAGGGACCTGCCACATGTGGCTGGAGAGGTTGGCAGGGTCTAGGGTCAGGCGAGATGCTACGGGCTTGGGGTTCAACCCTGAGAGTAATGGAAGCCCATGGAAGCGTTAAGCAGAGGAGGAATAAGGTCTGATGTCTGGTTTGTTTAAAGACCCAAGCGGCTGAGTAGAGAACAGACTGTAGACACAGAGGGAGCCATGGGGGAGATGGGCAGTGACACTGGACAGAGCCTACGAGCTCAAGGTGTATCTAGGCCCTCCCTGTGCCCTGCCTCCAATCCTAGGTGGCTTCCTACCGAGTTTGGCACACCCAGAAGCTGCCCTGGGGCTGGAGGAGGCAGGGATGAGGGTTCCCAGGCTCTTGGTCCCCTCTCTTGGCAGTGTTCCGAACTCCAGGCTGAGTTGGGGAAGGGACCAAAAGACACAGAGCAGGGGAGAACCACAGGTAGAGAATTAAACAGAGAGAATTAAACAGAGAGAAAAAAGTGATGGGGAGAAAACCAAGCTAGAGAGATGCTGGACCGGGGAGGCCCCTCCTGTAAAGGAGATTCAAGAGGAGAAAACCAGTGAACAAAAGAAACAGCCAAGGGTGCTGTTTGCAAGGGACTCTCCAGGGTGCCTCATGACAGGAGTTTTGCCACTGATCTCATTTTATGGGTGTGGAAATTGAAGCTCAGAGAGCATATGACATGTGCCCAAGGTCACACAGCTAGTAAATGGAGAGCCCAGGACTAGAACCCAGATGTGATTCCACATCCCTTTGCTCTTCATGCAGGGAAAGACAGCAGAGACTATGATGGAGGGAGAAAGAATATAAACAACAGGTGGACAGATGAAAAGAGAACACTGGGCTTTACTTCTAAAAGACCACAAACTTCTATAATCCTTGAGAGAAGAAGGAAGGAAAAAAGAAAGTCCTGACCCGGAGTGACCAGCCCAAATCTAGGGAAAAGGAGACCACACCACAGACAGTGCCAGGCCATGAGGAAATTCAATTACCTGCAACTCATGGAATATTTATGACACCTACCCTGTGCCAGGCCCCATATTGAGTACTGGTGTCATGGAGATGAACCAAACATGGCCCCACTCTTGCCTGGAGGGGGAAGTGGACACATAAATAAGAGACGATGTCCCAAAGACTGTGACACTGGTCCAGAGGAAACACAAAGGCAGCAGCAGTTGACTCAACCTAGGGGGTTGGGAAACATCAAAGAAATGAAATCTGAACCTGCAGTTTCCAGGGTAGGTAAAGCAGGGAAGAGCATTTCAAATGGGAGGAGCAGCCTAAATAAGGGCACAAGACACACCAGGAGATGTGGATATCAGGTGCGGGTGGCTCATAGGCTGGGCATGGTCCAACAGCAGAAGAAAAAGCTGGAAAGACAAGATAGGAGTCAGAGTGCAAAGAGTCTTGAATGCAAGGCCTAGACAGTTGGACTTGAACCCCTCAATCAGTGGTTCTTTTTTTTTTTTTTTTGAGTCAGGGTCTCCTCTGTCACCCAGGCTGGACAGGCTGGAGTGCAGTGGCGTGCTCACGGTCACTGCAGCCTCGACTGCTGGGCTCAGGTGATCCTTCTGCCTCAGCCTTCCAAGTAGTTGGAAATACAGGCACATGCCACCACACCTGGATAATTTTTTTTTTAATTGTAGAGATGAGGTCTTGCCTAGACGTTCAGGCTGGTCTCGAAACCATGGGCTTAGGCAATCCTCTCACCTTAGCTTCTCAAAGTGCTGGGATTATAGGTGTGAGCCACAGAGCCCGACCAATCAGTGGTTCTTAAACTGTGCCGGTGGGGAAACCCAGATGACCTGGGCTAAAAGCAAGGGCTATTGGGATGCACACCTCCCCAAGGAGGAGGAGTTGGTGGATGACTCTTCAGGCTTCCGGGCTGGGCTGCCCAGGAACTAAGAGGAGCCAATTTGGTGAAGAAGAGAATGTCAGCAGCTCAATGTCACCTAGGGAGTTTTACAACAGAGGTTTATTTTGTACCTCCCAGCAAAGCAGTCCTGTGAGTCACTGAAAATAGATGAGCAGGACTGAGTATTGTATACACATGTAACTGTGGGACCAAGTCTTTGCCCACTATGGGACCCCAAGTTTCTCTAATAATAAAAACAAGTACAGACATTTATTGACCACGTACTATAAGCCAGATCCGGTCTAAGGGTTTTACATATTATATTTCTCATTTAATCTCCACAATAACCCGGTAATATTTATCAAATGCTTCCATGTGCCAAGAATTGTACTAAAATGCTTCAAGTGAATAATATCTCACTCGATCCTCACAAGAACCTTGAAAGAGATAACACGTATTCCCTCCATTTTAAGGATACAGAAATGAAGACAAAGAGAGGTCAAGTGACTTGTCCAAAATCAAACAGCAGAGCCAGGACTTAAAGCCAGATTTGCCCGAGTCCAGCTCCCTGCTATACTGTCTTCCTCAGAGGAAAAGCTCTGACATGGCAAACTTCAGGTCATTGAAATCCAGAGAAAGAAACTTGTCCTTACCCTCCAAAGCCCTGGTTCAGTATCTTAGAATCTCTCAAAGCCTATTCCCTGGGACACCTGCATCAGGATATTCTTGGAAGCTTGTAAGGATGTAGATTCCTGGAGCCCCACCCCCAAGATTCTAATTCAGTAGGTCTGAGATGGGACCTCAGATTATTTTTATGCACACAGAAGATTTTGGATCACAGGGCTGGTTCCAACAGCACCTCCTCCGAGAGCCCCCTCCCTCACCCCAACCCCCACCAAGAGCACCTCTCTTCTTCAGGCTACAGTATTGCACTATGGTACTGGTTAACATTCAACTGGGGTTTTAGTTATATTCATGTCTTCCCTACACCAAAAATAAGATCTAGCTTCCTTCGGGGGTTGCACCTTGTGTGTGTGTGTGTGTGTGTGTGTGTGTGTGTGTGTGTGTGTGTGTGTGTGTCAGAGTCTCACTCTGTCATCCAGGCTGGAGTGCAGTGGTATGCTGCTCACAGCCACCGCAGCCCCGACCTGCTGGTCTCAGGTGATCCTTCTGTCTCAGCCTTCCAAGTAGCTGGAACTACAGGCACACGCCACCACACCTGGCTAATTTTTTGATTTATTGTAGAGATGAGGTCTCACCAAGTTGCCCAGGCTGCTCTAGAACCCATGGGCAAAGGCAGTCTTCTCACCTCGGCCTCCCAAAGTGCTAGGATTATAAGCATGAACTACCGTTCAAGGGGCTACACCTTTTACAAATCACTCCCAGTGTTCCACCTAATCCCTTTCTACACTGAGAACTTTGAGAGCAGCCCTTCTCCTTGTGATTCCTGCCTTGCATCTGAACACATTTAGCATTTATATCCACATTAACATTCCTCTATTGTTGCATCCAATCCTTACAACAGTCTGGAAGGAGGCATATTATCCTCGTGGTTGTATCGATGAGAAAACAAGTTCGGAGTTTCCCTCGCCCAAGGCAGCCAAGCTAAGTAGCAGGGCCAGAAATTGAACCTAGGTCTTTGACCCTGAGCCCAGTACTCCTGCCTCCATATCCGCTTACGTGTGCTCTACCCAGTGTAGAGAAATAAGCTGTGTCTCCCAATGCCGTTTCAGGGTAGTGAGAATAAATGAGACCTAGCTCAGTGGGCACTCAATCAATGGTGGGGAGAAGGGTAAACTGAGGCCAGGAGAGAGTAGATGATTTCCCCCAAATCAAACACCAAACTGCAGGCTGTAGACCCAGCTTTAGACCACCAGGTCCCTTCTCGTTGGAAGAGTGGCTTTGGCGGCCTCAGAAGCTCGGCACCGCAGAGGCCCACGCCTGACCGCCAACGCGGTTTCACCAGGCGCCACCGCGTGGGCAGCGAAAGAAGGAAACGGCCCTTTAAAGGGAGGAGGGGCGTGGTCACGCGGTGGGGCGGGGCGGGGCGGGAGGCGGGGCGTGGGCGCGGGAAGATGACGTAGCCGGGCGTCAGGCTCCGAGTTGACCGGAGCATGTGGGTTCGCCGCGCGCTGCGGGGGATGCGAACCCCAGCTCGGCTGCTGCGGGGGCTGCTCCCGGCTTGGGGTCGCTGTGGGCCAGCCGCCTCCTCCTACTCCGTCTCCGCCGAGACCTCCCGGGTCCGAGCGCTCGTCTATGGGCACCACGGGGATCCAGCCAAGGTCGTCGAGTAAGAAACGTCGCCGAAACCGGGTGGGCTTTTTAAGTCTGGCTGTGGACTGGGAAGGGAGAGTTAGGGTCCGAGGAAGCGGGCAGAGAATAGCACGATCGAGACTGAAGCACAGAGCGCTTTGGGTAGCTCAGGGAGTCCATGCTTCGAGGGAGTTCAAGACCCGAGAGGCACAATTGCGAGGGTAATAATGGCTGGCGTTTATTGATCGAGTATTTTGTGTCAGACAATTCTTTGTTTAAATGGGTGCTCTCATTTAATTGTCACAACAGTGTTTGGGGGTAGTTCTTGCTTTGTCCCCATTTTGCGGATGAGAAAACTGAGGCATAAGAGAAGTAAAATCACTCTCTCAAGGTCACACAGCTAGTAAGCGACAGAGTCGGATTTGGAACACACGTCTGACTCACTGTTCTTGCCCAAGTTTTTACCCTCTATTATTTTTTGGAGGGAGTTTTCAAAATTCTTTTACATCCATGTAGATCTTTGCTTGTCAGTAAAGTAGGTCATCGATCACTGTTTCCAGGGGGAGAGGGATTTGTCCACAGTGATATAGCTAATAAGTGATGGGAACAAGGACTGGATTCCGTGGCTTCTAACTCTTGTCTCAAGTGAGTTCTTCTCCATTGCACCGTATATGTACCTTGGCCTAGTTAAAAAGAGCTCTTTTGGTCTTTGGTCATACAGACCTAAGTATCTGTATTGGGTCAAATACAGGTTTAGCTGTTTGATTTTGTACAAGTCACTCAGCCTCTCTAAGCCCTCGTTACTTTTATATCTTCCTCCTAAAATTTTGTTGGATCTTAATTTGTGATTTTTACATGTGGCTGAAAATGAATTTTCAGTTATTATAAATCTGCACATAAATAACTAGCCATTCAAAAGGGATGTCAGGGCTGCTGGAGTGGAGCTCAGGAGAAAGCATGAGTCTGGGAATCAGAACACTTAGAGTCAAATCCTTACCCTGACTTATCCTAAATGTATGTATGGCGAGTTACTGAGGTCCCTGAACCTTGGTTTTGTCATCTTTAAAAATGGAGACAATTCAAAGCTCATAGTAATAATCAGCTAAGATCGGTCTAATGCTCTCCACTAAAAAAGCGCCTACATACTCTTCTGCGGTGCCTTCTTTATAATTCTTTGATTCCCATCAAATAGTTTCAAACGTGGAATTATTCTGATGGTTAAAATTCGTGTAGATGTTTTTACAGGTGGAGAAGATAAAGCCTCAGATAAACTCAAGGCCATACACTCAGCCTAGCCACATCTGCCATTACAGCAATTGAAAAGAATATCGAAAAGACATATGTCAACAAACCCCAAATTATATGTTGATCTTAGGTAATAACTCATCATGTCAGGGAAGACATCTCCCTAGGACTATGTTGTCAGGAGCTGGTAAAGCTGATAAGGAATGTACCCCAAATGAGAACAGTGTAGAACCTCTTCCTCAGGCTTGTAATTTGTGTCTGCTGCAGAACCCACCACAAAACAGTGCTTCCCAAATGTTAAATCTAAATCTAATTTCAGGAAGAAGTGCACCTTTTATTGAATTCTACTGGTGTTGAGGAAAGCCTGGGAAAGTTAGGCAACTGAAGGCAGTTGTCTCCTGATTGAGTTCCCTTGTCTTGAAGAGCCAGGGGGACTGGAACAGGATGGTCTGTTTGTAGATGCCACTTAGGGAGAAAAAAAAATTTATCTCCTGGGGAACCTCAGTAATTTCCCATAGCTCAAAACATGATACTTCCACAAAGCATTATATTCAACCTTGGCTTCATAGCATGTCACCATCTGTGATGCTTTTATTTTTTATTTTTTATATTTGAAGATGGCCTCACTGTGTTACTCAAGCTGGTATCAAAATCCTGGGCTCAAGGGATCCACCTGCCTTAACCTCCCAAATAGCTAGGAGGTGTATACCACAGCACCCAGCTCTACTGTGGTGCTTTTAGAAACTATAGTGCATGTTTCTAGGCCCCATCCCCCAAGGTATTTAGTAGGTCTGGGAAAGTTTGGAGCATTTGTGTTTGTTTTTTTTTAAAGTTCTCCAGGTCTTGGAAGGCTGAGGCAGAAGGATCGCTTGAGCCCAGCAGGTTGAAACTGCGGCGGCCTGTGAACATGCCACTGCCCTCCAGCCTGGGCAACAGAGTGAAACTCTGACTAAAAATAAATAAATAAAGTTATCCAGGTGACTCTACTGCCCAGGCCAGGGATGAGAACCGTTGCTCCGTGGGCACAGATTGTCAAGCAATAATTCTCCCTGAGCCCCAAGGGCAACTTTCCTTTCTGACCCAGATTTGGGCAACTTTACTTGTTTGTGTATGGACTAGAGCCAGAGTCTGGCTTTGTAGCATGTCTTATGAGGTTTAGGGTAACCACACTGTCACAGAAAGAATCGGGTGTCCTTTACACAGCCTGGTGACTAGGTGTCTGGGTCAGGTTACACCAGGTAGGGGTCATGGAACTACCTTGAGTCTGAACAGAGCATTCCCCAAACTGGTATGGTTTGTGATGCTCGCATTATGGGCAAACCCTCTGGGAGCAGCAGAGAAAGAATGAGAAAGAATCTGCTCAGGTCTGAATGGTTGCAGAACCCCTCAAAATGAGGCCTTCAGGGATCTCCTGTTCTCATGTCCCTTTTTTCAATCCTGTTGGCCCCCAAACATTCTGGCTGTTCTTCCCCAAGCCTTTCCCCATCCCTTCATTTCTTTCCCTTCTTTCCAAAATGAGATTTCCTAAATGTGTATTTAAGACTTTTTCATGTAAAGAATTGAACTACTGATGTAAATGAAGTAAGACTGCGCAGAATTAAACATTTTAGAGATTTCAGAGTTCTCCATAGCCATTTTCCCTTGAACAGAGTTCTGAATTCTCTGTCAGTTAGCTCCTAGAAACTATCTGATAATTTATGGTAAAAGCAGTCCTCTATTTATTGTATACATGCTATGTAGCAAATATTGGGCTTAATTCTCCACACATATTATGGCATTTAAAAGTCATAACAATCCAGTTTGGTTATTGTTATTCCCATTTTACAGGTAAGGAAACTGAAGCTTGAGAAGATTGAAAGATGTTTGTCCAAGATCGTATAGCTAGAATGCCCCTTCTTTATTAAAATCCTTAATATAGACATAGACCTTGAAAAACATTTTTGAGAATGAGGAGGAGTATAAAATTGGGAAGAAGATAGGTCTGTAGAGAAGGTAAAATTGTAGGCCCTTCAGGTGACTCCAGATTTCTACTCTGTAGGAAAGGCGGCCCCACTCTGGAGAAGATAATAGAGATACTATCCTCTGTCTTCTCCCCTTTCCAGGATCCCGAAACTTTTATAAAACAGCATCCCAAGCCGGACTCGGTGGCTCAGCCTGTAATCCTGCACCTTTGGGAGGCTGAGGTGAGTGGATTGCCTGAGCCCACCGGTTTGAGACCCGCCTGGGCAACTTGGTGAGACCTCATCTCTACAATAAATCAAAAATTAGCCAGGCGTGGTAGCGCGCGCCTGTAAGTTCCAGCTACTTGGAAGGCTGAGGCAGAAGGATCACCGGAGCCCAGCAGGTCGAGGCTGCTGTGGCCGGGAGCGGCCACTGCACTCCAGTCTGGGCAACACAGTGAGACTCCAACTCAAAAAAAAAAAAAAAAAAAGCTGGGCTCGGTGGCTCAGCCTATAGTCCCACACCTTTGGGAGGCCGAGGTGAGTGGATTGCCTGAGCCCACGGGTCGAGACCCGCCTGGGCAGCGAGACCTCATCTCTACAATAAATCAACACATCAGCCAGGCGTAGTAGCACATGCCTGTAATTCCGGCTACTCGGAAGGCTGAGGCGGAAGGATCGCCGGAGCCCCAGCAGGTCGAGGCTGCGGTGGCCGGCAGCGGCCACTGCACTCCGGTCTGGGCGACAGAGTGAGACTCCAACACAAAAAAACAAAACAAAACAAAAACAAAAACAAACAAAAAAAGCTGGGCTTGGTGGTTCAGCCTGTAATCCTGCGCCTTTGGGAGGCTGAGGTGAGTGGATTGCCTGAGCCCACGGGTTCGAGACCC